ACTAAAATGCAATAAAAATCTCAATTTTGCTAAAAAATTCCCGGAACCTGATTTTCCTAGCAATCAACCCATATGCTTTCATAGAACTCTTAGCATCATACAACAATACTAATTACGCCTCGTACCTCCTTATCTTTTCCCCCAGCAAGATATAAAGTTCAGCTAACCTTCCTGCAAAACATTCTTAGAGAAAATAACATAAAATAAGGTATGTGCTGTATATATCAGATGTTATGTATATATGGGAACAAGTTTTTCTCACTATGATTTCTTGCATTTAGAAAATGAAAATGACTCACAAGAGTATTGTCAATCTTAAGTATTACCTCTAGGATGGTGAGGATAAAATAAGTTACATAATCTCACACTGCAAGGAAGATAAGGTCGCTATTCTTGAATTTGCTGTTAAAACTCTATTAGCAAATCAAGATTACCAAGCTCTCTCCCTCAACTTTGACCTCTATGTGAATGATCCTAAGGAAGATAAACTCATAGAATCAATTGAAGAGATCTCTAAATATTTCGATAAGCCTCTCGTTTTAGATTAAATTCACATTCTCATAAAACCTAAAAATAAATAGTAATTTTTTATTCGCATCATATAACGATATAGTCACAATTTTTATGTATTGTAGGCTGACTTCTGATAATTTTTTTTATTCTTAAATAAAGCATATATTATGTTCTTGTCATATATCTTGAAAAGTGTCACGTGTAATAATGTAATATAATCGCCTAATAATCCTGTATTACATCTTAATTGCATATATATTGAGCAAATAATGCATTATGAATTGATACAAAAAAAATTTATCATTTCTCTCCAGACATATCTTACTTTAGAAGCAAAAAAATACTTTATATAGTCATAAATCAGCTTTACCTGAAATTGCAGTTGAGCGCATATTTTTTCACAAGCACAAATACATACATATAAAAAGCATGTCTTTACAAGCTTCTTCACCTGTTTCACCCACCTCAATAATAGAAGAAATTTTCACTAGAACAATGTCAGACGTGGTTAAGAATTTTAATACAGAGGAGCTTATCAATTATTTGAGAAGAAAAAACTTAAAACTCGATAAAAATGATATTAAAATACTTCATAAAGAGAAAATTGCCAGCTCTGACTTTTTCAAGTTAACTAAAGAGGACTTTCATAGTATTAGTTTTGCGTTAGGTCTAACAACAAGGCTTACAGAATTCATTGAAGGTTTTAGTTAGAAGCTACAAAACTATTACTTGCTTAAAATTCTCGATAACTTGAAAAAAATATTGCATAGAAATAAGGTCAATGGGAAAAATATAACAAACATCAAGCAGTTTACTCCTAGTAAGTAATTAATTAATTTTCGAAACTGACTAGATAGCCATATTAACTTTATTTTTCTTTTTAGTCTTCGAGGAGATCAATAATGATGATAAGGCGTTTAATTACTGTATAGAGGATATAAACTTAAAACTTTTGAATGTGAAGACTATGACTGATGCTAATGAGGTGACATGCTGTGAATTTATTTCAGCGATATTACATGCATCAATTGCCATTGCCAAAAAACTCATTTTTCAAGATATATTCATAGTTTTATAAAAAGATATTTCTGGTGAAGATGTAATGAGTCGAGTAGACTACATAATCAAAGTCTGGAAGACCTTTTCTGTATTACCGAAGGAAAGCCACGCAATATTAAGATTGGTTATGCTCAGGTAAGTCTAATATTTGAATCATGTTTTAAAAATTTCGATAACATTAACGCATTTTATTTTTTAGAATCTGGTGCAACTTGAGAATGCATTCCAAACAAATAAGAAAAAATGAACTGCAGATCAAGCATTTAGAAATGACTATTTTGACTACATTTATAGTATCGTGATCATAGGCACAAAGTGGCACTTTATCATATATACTCCAGACGGTATTTTCTGTACAAGCAGTAACGAATACCAAATAAATCTTACGAAGATTGCGATCAAAGAAAACTCTGATTTACTTCGAAGCAATATGAAAAGGGTAATAGGTATAATTGTTAGACTACTAAAAGATAGGGTTAGTATTGATAGTTTCCCAACTAGTAAGAGGGCTAGAATCGAAAATTAATTAAAAAATAATATGTATCGCAGGCTACATCCTGAATCTTGTATTTATTTGTATGTATTAATAAAAAATTTTCTTGGCATTTTTTCAAGACCGTGTGGTCTTGCAATTTTTTTTATTTTGAATGTTTATATATAGTGTATTAGTTTTATATATTATAGATCATGTCATCTGAGCTTAAATTATTGAAACAGCGTATTACTGAATTTGAGGCTGAAAATGCAGAACTCAGGAAGGAAAATACTGAAATCTCCAATCTTAAAATCAAGCTCTCAGTGTTTGATACTGAAATAGTTAAACTTAAGCGCAGGAATGTTAAATTTCTAAGAGCAAATAAGGAATATAACGAGAGGCGTGATGCTGAAAATGCTAATCTCAAGGCTAGAATTAAGAAGATAGAATCTGAGTTAAGAGATAGAATCACGAAAGTGAAAGAGAAGTAGACTCTGCAAAACGCCTTAATGGTAAATGATAATTCTTCTAACAACAGTTCACCTAGCTTCAATTTAGTTGTAGTACCAAAGGCGATAATAGTATCTACCAACTCAGTGAAGCGCTTAATGACAAATCATTAGAAGAGAAAGAGATAGATAATTTTTTGCTTGAGGCTGATAAAAAATCGTTAGTGATGGAATAAGATAACGCAATAAGGAGAAGAAACTTAAAAAAGCAGAGCAGGCATCTCTTAACTAAGATCAAGAATCTGGTACTTGCGATCCTAAAGAGATCATACTAGAAGTGACAAATTCTGTGACTAAAATTTCAGCTGAGACGCCTCTGCCAAAAAATAGTTATAGGAAAAAAGGTGCAGAAAATATTTCTCAAATGATATTTGATAGTATTCGAAACGATTCACAGTCTCAAAAATGTATTCTTAGTTTTTCTAACGATATATTATTACAACAAAGCCAAATTTCTTCTATAGTACCACTGCTTACTTTAGCTCAATTATTCGATAAAGTGACTGATGCTGAATATGATGCAATTCATGTGAATTAGAAAGAAATTTTGTACTAGTACTACTATGGAAAGAAATTTATAACTTAAGTTAACGAAGTTACCAAAGGTAATAAAATTGGTGAGAAAAAAGCAAAAGGAATTATTTATGATAAAATGTTAGAGGATCTTTTCATGTTGCAAAAGCAATGATTTGAAGAAATGGATTTACAATTCCTAGAAATCACACGTAAATACTTGCAAGAAAAAACTTAAAAAGCTGTAAAGATATATAATTTATTTAAAAAGGTAGGTATAGACAAAATTAAGTATATTACAACATATACTGCAAATGCTATTTTAGAGTTGACTAATGATAAACTTCAAGAAATCATAGAGGCCCTGAAGGGACGGAATAATTGTTCACTTTGTAAACATCTAAAGGAATTGCATCACATGTCACTAAAAGATGAGTCTTCGATTTCTGAAATTTCTGAAAAAATCTTGTCTGAAGTAAATGCATCAACTACACCCATGCTAGCTGAAAACATTTCTGCGAAATATTTTAACAGCAATTCTTCAGATGATTCCTTTAGAATCGATCCAGTAGCTGTGAATACATCACCTGTATCTCAGGTAATATCATCTAAGAAATCCAGACTTCTGATTTCTATTTTACTTGATGATCTAGAAGAGAAATGAAAACATATCATTGGATTAGTGCTAAAGAAGTTTCCTTATCTATCTTTAGACAATAGTGATGAATGCTGTGACACATTTAATTTTGATAGTTAAGCACTCTGTCCTTTGTGTAATGGAAACCATAAAGTGAATAGAAGTATATTTGATGAAATAAAAGGTAAATGGGGTGCTGGTGAGTATTACAGAGAATGAACTTATTGTCTCAAATGTAGGAAGTCTTTTAAACCTGAAATCCTAATAGTATCTGTAAAAGTATAGACTTCATCATGTGGGTGGCTTAGCTAAAAGACGCAGAGCATATATCATGTGCAGTAAGTACGTCATCTTTATACTTCCTTCGCAGTAACTATTATGTGATTTAACTGCGCTCTGTATTGCAGTTGTGTCATATTTTAGAGGTAAAGCATCAAATGGGCTTCATAATAACCATTTTTAGGTCATTAAATAGAGTACGAATAGGAATTAAGAAAGCAACATATCAACAAATAAATTCTACCCCTGAAGGCGTTTTGCTGATTATGATGATATGAAATGAAATTAGTTATATTACAACTATCAGCCCAACAAATAAGCGACATATTTTATTCAAAAAAGGGCTAATAGTTGAATGATTTACAAATCGTGGGTATAAAGGATATAATAATATTTTTGTGTATTTTTTTTATAAATACCTCGACCGCCTTTAGATGTGAGGACTTCGAAGTTCTCATTTCTTTTAACTACGCCACAAATGAGAGAAACCTGCTCTTTTATATATTTGAAGCAAAAAATCTATTATCCTTTATCTAGGAGGGTCCCTTAGTTCCCATTCTTCAGTCAACACATTATACTCTTATAAACAATTTATTGAAGCGAACAGTATCTCATTAGATATATATTCTAGTTCTCTCTCTTTAGACACGAATGAAATAAGTGAAAAGGAATAGGATGAACTTTAGTTGAAAATGCTACGTATAATATAGTTTATTCACATACTGTACTCACATAATAGCAAAGCTACATAAGGAATATTTTAATTAATAAAAAACTTTTTTTTGACTTGATGCTCTCTTGCATAAGACCTCTCAGCCAAGTATTTACGAAAAAATATTATTATTTTCATTGTTTGAAATATGTTGTGGGGATATGAGAATGCATTAACTTTTTTCGTCTATAGGTACAAGCGCCAAATAGGATCTTAACATTTCTTTTTTTCAAAAATAGGGGGTAAAGCTATGACAACATTTTCACAATTATTCCAGGCTTGAATTTTGACGCAGATTCTCTACGCTAGTGTATGTGAACATTTATTTTACCAGATGATTATAAAACATATAAAAGGATTATTTTTAGAGAACTGCTTTGGTATTTGTTTTCCTCCAAAAAGTAAAAAAAATAACAATTTCACGTAAAACTAATAAAATAAAATCTATCTAAAAAATGTTCTCAAATTCAGATATTTTCTTGATCGCACTTTTCAACGCTACAATTGTAATTTATGAGATGGTAACCTGTGGTGTTCTTATAATAGATATAATTCAGGATATTTTTTCGGGAAACGTAAATATTTATATAATCTTTGCTGTTGCTATCTTCTTTTTTCGCAAATATCTAATGCAATCAGGAAACAATAACCTCGAAAGAACAGTCTTAAAATTAAGTAATGAATTTCAAAGAATACGTACAGAAGCCAAATGGAGAAATGATGTGATATCTCAAGGTAAGTCATGTGCTACAGAAGAAGAAAAAATACTATTTCATGCATATATACTTATTTGCGTCAAACTGCGTCTTATTTTTTTTTAGCCAGATCAATCCGATTCTCTTCCACAAGTCATGTTTCCATAGGACAATACTCTGAATATATGGATGAATATGAAACATACTGGGTCAAGTTTACAGCCCTTTTTAATAACAGGAGGAAAAGAGAAAGTCGTTCTCTAACACAATTGTACAATATATTTCTTAGCCAGAAGGCATTTATCTAAAATTTAATAAAGTTCTACCCACATTATATGACTATTGATTTTTAAATAAATGTGTATATGCATAGGTGAATTTCATTTGTGTATGTGTATTATAATAAATATTTTGATTAATGCTGGAGTAGTCTAATGCTGAACACTGTGTCTCATTTATTACGCCCTTATCTATCAATGATTACGTTTTTTCTTTGAATATATATTTTCACAATAATATGTATTACCGTGGACATAAATAAGTATTTTTAATAAACTAATCAATAAAGGTATATTGTATTACTCAAAATGATCATAGACAAATAAAGTCTTGTTATATTAGTGACTTTTTATCGGCATTACAAATGAAGTGACAAAATAAGTAAATGCTATCAGCTTATTTATGTGAATTATAGCACCAATGCTAACATTAAAGATGAGATACAAATAACAATAATAATATGAAAGATAAGATGTGAGTCATCGATTCATGTGCGCATATGTCATATAAGAATTACATATAAATATTATACTCTGAAAAACACGCATAGTTACTCTTTACAATCTGCTCTTTTTTACTCTAAAAAACACGCATATTTACTTTTCACAACCTATTATTTATTGGGTTTTTTAAAAAGAAAGTCAAAAAAAAAATTGTAAAGCTAAATATGCTCTCCTATAACAACAAAAATGGCATAAGTAAGGTCTCTTTATACGTAGCTTCCGTTAACCAAAGTGATAATAATGAATTTTTTCAACTAATTCTTAGTGTCGTGTATATGGCGGTAGTGGATACATTAGTTGCAGTACTTGCAATAGTTCTGAATATGTTAATGATACAAATATGCCTTTAAAAATGAAAGTGTATAGTTCATGTAATGGTAGTGGCTCAAAGACTTGTTCAAACTGCGGTGGGAGTGGTCACCATTAAAATTATTGTTAGTTAGATTTTAACAAGCTTTTAATATGAAATTATGTTATAGTAATTCTTAAATATAGTGTAGTTTTTTGCTTCTGTATTTTTTAAATATAAATATTAATAAAAGTTTCGCTCATAGTTCAGGTATTTATTTTTACATATGTATGAGTGAATGATAATAAATATTGCGCCATAAAATTAATAAAATGAAGACACAAGTGTAGAGGTAAAAAAGCCTTTGCTCATCAGAAAATAATTAGTGTTATGTGATATTATCTGAAGCTGATCATCTCGTGATTTGAGTTGTAAGAATTGTCTGGGAGTCAGGATGATATAAATTTTTATGTTATACATCATTCAAAGCACCTTTGGCTAATTCCTGTTAATCACGAGAGATTCACAAACCACATGTAAATATAAATTAGCTTAGTCAAGATATAAATTTCCAATATAAATAAAAATGAATTTGGATTTACTAGCATGTAGTCTCACAAATCAGCTACAAACCAATTAACCATATAAATTTGAATGATGATATTATCTAGTATAAGTTGCTAAAGAATTACTAGAATTCACTAAAATGCTATAATCATTAAATATGTCAAGAACTTATATTAACAGACCTAAGCCTAATAAATTCATTGATATTATTTTAGATGAGATTTATAATAAATCTGTGCCTAAACCCATCAATCTTCGTCCTGGATACGATATTGAATATATTAGAAACCATTATAGTTTTCTTTATCCTGATCAATTTGAAAAGATGGTTGAGGTTGAAAAAATATATAATAATTTATCTATTATTAGTTCGTATGAAACTCCATAGCAATGGGCTATTTGTGTAAACAACGCTTTACAAGCATTGATTACTGAAGGTCATAAAAACTATTATCATGTATTCTGCCTTTTCAGGTCATCTGAGCAAGGAGTAACTAAGACATACTATGATAACTATGAAGGGAGAGAAGTTGCTATTGGTTATTATAGATCTAATATTCACAATTGCAAGATGGCTATTTGCTTTGATTGTTGAAAATTAGTAGAGATCACTGATGTAAAACTAAAAAAGACATATTTCAGTGGATGGCGGAGATATAAGTATGAGATTAAGCCTGAAACTTGATGAAACATCATTAGGATAACTCATATTTTAAGACTAATAAACATATAGAAGCCCATCTTTTCGCAAGATCGAAGTCAAAAATATTGCGTGAAAAATCTTTTGACCAGAAGGGAATATTATATTCTAAAAAAATTACACCTGACTCCCTCTCGTAGTTTGATAGAACAAATAAGAGTGAAATATTTATTTCATCTATATATGCAAAACAAAATAATTTAAACCATCTCAATCATCCAAAAGGCACTGTACTTAGATTGAAAGATAGGACAAAAGTCATAATTGTTTAACTGGTTTAACTGAATAATTCTGAAAAATATTTTAATTATAGACTATTCCTTTCAACTAAATATAATTTATTTTTTACGCTATATATTCTGCATGCATGATCACCTAGTATAATTGGCCAAAAGCGCTATGCATGAAATGTATCACCTGCAAGATAAAAAACCTGATTTACCTATTCTAGAATAGATCTTCTAATAAATTATATAACTATCTATTTTAGTAAACTATCTATGAAGCGATCTTGGGAATTCTTGATTGCAAGACAATATAACTATCAGTTTAAGAATTTTTATGCAACAGTTATCTAGCGAGCTTACAGGAATTATAAGAAAAGAGCTGAATCTTCAGCAAAACGAGTTTGGAAGGTAATGAGAAATAATGATATTCCTGATAAAAAGAAATTTTTAGGTATACTTAGAAAATGATAGATGCTAATAAATCCTGAGACACAAGAAGAATATGTTACAGCTTGTGAAGAGTTTTATGCTTATTTTAGAAAATATTACTCATATTATATTGGAATAATTAATCCAATCAAATTAACACCACCATATGAGGAGTATATTTATTATTCTTCTAGTAGATGGATAGAAGCTAAAAAATATCAGTTAAGATGATGATTGGATAGTATAGTATATGGGTCCACTTCTGATTACTCAGGAAGATTTATGTTAAAATTGCTATCTGTTATTAATTATCATCATATAAGACAAAATTCAGTATGACGTGAGACATAAATTATCACATTTTCGATCTTTGTTAAAGTATATATGATATAATACCTGATATACCACAAATCATTTGTAACTCTATGTGACTATTTGTGCGATAAATTAATTCTCACACATAAGAAATCGATCTCCAAAATATTTCAAATTTTTTCCCTATCTATCTGAATAGCATTTATTTATGAGCTTATTTCCTCTAGAGATTCCTACTAGATTTTAACCAGAGCATATTTAGCCAGGCCAGAAACATTCTTTGAACAAGACACAGAGTATATAATATTGTTAGGTCTTTATTACTGAGTGGTTGAGTAAGCAGAATGAAAAAAATATGTATATGCATACAGTCCCTAGCGAAAAGAATGGCGGTGGAAGACCGCATTTATTTAGGCTGCGGTTTCACTACTTTCTGGATTTAAGCATTTGTTTATGTGCCCAAATCGGACATTGGAATCTGAATTAAAAAGGTAAGTTAAAAAAATAAGGTTTGTTATTTGTTTTTATTTTGATTTCCTTTCTGAAACTATGCCAAGCTCTTTAGAAATACAAAGAAATTCTGTTAAGTCACTTTGGAATCAAAAAATGCATAATGCAAAGGAAATTTTTAATCGATTGTAAATTCCTTTACACACATATGAACGATATGTCAGTTTACTAAATAAAACTGGCAAAATTTCTATTGATTACTCTTCTGGCCGTCCAAGAAAATTGGCTTCAAATCAACACCGCCCATATTGGAAAAATTCTGCAACATAATCATTTTACTATAGCAGACGAACTTAAGGCAAAAATGGAAGAAAAAGATCCTAACCTTGATGTTAGTGAACGTACAATACGTCGTGAGCTCAACAATCTTGGATATATTTCTGTTCTTCCAAGAAAGGTTCCTCTCTTGACCTAAAAAGTGAAGGATTTTCGTTTGTTTTGGACACGTGATCATTCGCGATACAACTGAAAAAAAGTTGTTTTTTTCTGATGAAACAACATTTCAGATGTTTAGAAATACCATGTGTGCATGGTCTCATAATGCACAACCAATTGCCCCTATGGTAAAGCACCTATTCAAGGTTCATGTTTGGGCAGCGATTAGTGTTAAAAGAAAAATTGGCATTCATTTGTTTACTGAAAATTTGGATCGTCATTTGTATCGAAAAATCTTGGACGACCATCTGTATAACAAAGCAGATATGTTATACAGACGCGGCTGGGTCTTCCAACAAGATAATGACCCAAAACACACCTCACACGATGTTCAGGGAGACTTGAAAAATCATCTTCCAGGACAAGTTCTTTCTTGGCCTTCATACAGCCCAGACTTAAACCCTATTGAAAATGTATAGGCTGTATTAAAGGGAAAGGTGAAGAAAAAGATCAAGTATTTAGTAGCAAAAAAAAAAATATTACCTGCGATGTATTCCTTAATACAATCTGGCAGGAATGGGACGATTTTGATGACGCCATGTTACTTCGGTACATCGAGAGCATGCTAAGCCGGGTTAAAGCATGTATCAATACAAAAGGAGGATACACCAAATATTAATTAATAATATAAAAGTTGTCGTTAGTATTGTTTTTATAAATAATAAAAAAAAAAATATACATTAAAATAAAGTTTGTACATATCATCGAAATATGTTTCTGTCATTTTTTTCGCCAGGAACTGTATAAAGAATTGGAATAAGCATAATTTTTTTTTTTTAAATGTATAGCTAAATTAGTTTAGACTTTACATTTGCATTAGAATATTACACAAACTAAATTATTAATGATCTGCAAGTCTTGTGACATTTCCGCAGACTGTTATGGGTACAAAACTACCATCTACGTAAAGGACCTGATCCTACGGTCTCGATAGTCATCAATAGGGTAAAACCCTATAAATTAGATTGGTAAAAATAGAGCCTGACAAACTCTATGGTTGAAGTGAGTCTTCTATCCAAAGGTGATAGTACACAATAAGGTCTAGTGAGCCTTGTGACAAGGGACTAAACTGTTGCAAGATGCTCTATACTAGGTAGTAACCATATGGAAATGTGCTTCTAGGCAAGTTGCTGTATCCCTTAATGGGATCAGAGACTTAAAGAGGTTACTTAATACGGAATAACACTTGTCCTATTTAGGATATACCCTCTACTAACTCTCTAGATGTCGCACATTAATAGTAAAAAAAAAATTATATCAGATTATTTTTAAGGATTAGTGATCTTAGCTTAATCCGTAAGGTATGAGTCTCTATTGTAGGTTACACTGTAATAATCACAGGTTCAGACTTCAGCCGAAGCATAAAACTAGATGATTTTCATAAGAATTTTATATGTAACTGAATATGTGAGCATTTAGATTAATAAATGTTAGATACTAGTCGATTAACGTTTATCATGTCTAAATACTGGGTTTGAAGAACATATGGATGCAAGTGAAGCCAGGGATTGACAGAAACTTAGCCTTCGCTGATAGGTCTGTAATGGATACTGTCTCATGTCTTCAAATTCAGAAGCTCTTACACAAATAAGGAAGTGGTTAACCAATAATTAGTAGATTGGGTACCTTCTTCAGGTAGGCTATGGTGATAATTAATTGCATTGCACGTTATATCACCATCCAATCGAATTATCACTAGGGTTAGAAGCTGGGTTCGATTCCTAAGTGAATTTGATGTTATGGGTACAAAACTACCATCTATGTAAAGGATCTAATCCTATGATCTTAGTATTCATTAATAGGTAAAATCCTATAAATTAGATTGGTAAAAATAGGGCCTGATAAGCTCTATGGTTGAAGTGAGCTCTCTATCTAAAGGTGATAATACCCAATAAGGTCTAGTGAGGCTTGTGATGAAGGATTAAAACTATTGCAAGTTGGTTTATACTAGGTAG